ACGACCAAACTTTTAACTTTTCCTAGAATATTGTTGGCAACATATTTCTATCTTTGGAATAAGATAATCATCTCATGGCAACGGGTTTCTGACAGGCATTTTTAACTAAATTTAGTAATTTTTGTTTCAACAATAGAATTTTATGAGTTTTATGTCAAGTTACTCATGGTTTCTAATATAAATAACATCCTATGTAATTTTATTTTTTAATTTTATTTATCATTCAATATGCATAATTTCTGCTAATTCGATGGCGTCATGGGCCAAAATCCAAGATGGCGGACCATATCATTAGAACAGGTATATACATGTTATTCTCCTTAAAATTTCATCAATACTTCCATTTCTTTTTTCAAGAAAGGTTTAAAATGAGGGTCTTCAGTATGTTTACAATGTATTTTAAGCTTTGTCATGAAAAAATATTTTTGAAAATTCAAGATTGATGATCCAAGATGGCGGATATCTTAACCCAACCTAGGACGGGGGGGGGGGGGGCTAAAAGTGCCCGCGCCAACTTTGATGTCACCTAGCGTCTGAACGGCTGTCGCTAGAACGGCCAAACTTTGTGACTTATCCTAGAATGTTGTTGGCAACAATTCTCTATCATCGGAAAAAGATAAAAAAAATTATGTTGCCATGGCAACGGGTTTCTGACAGGCATTTTTTGCTAAATTTAGTACTTTTTGTTTCAACAATAGAATTTGTCAAGTTCCACATGGTTTTTAATATAAATAACATCCCATATAATTTTATGTAAATTTTATTATTAAAATACATAATTTATGCTTATTTGATGACGTCATTGGCCAAAATCGAAGATGGCGGACCATGTCATCAGAACAGGGGTATACAGTTTTTTTTCCTTCAAATTTTATCAATACTTCCATCTCTGTGTGGTTAAGTCAATTTGAAGACCCCCAGCGAAGTGGGCGTTGGCTCCCCTAGCAACACATAGTAACAACCTTTGACCCCTAGTTTTCCAGATTTTCCCCATTGTTCGCTAATTGCCCCTTCCCCACCTAGTGTGAAAACTTCCCTAGAGGGGTGCCGCTGGCCCAGGTGAGATGTTACCTGGCACCCTGCAGGCATGTGAAGGGCTGTATAACAGTACCGTCTGGGAAGGGAAGCAGGATTTGTATTGGATGTGATGTAACAGTGTTCCAGTCGTCAGAAAATGACAGTCTGAATTTGTTGCTACATCCATACAATAAAGCTACATACAGTTAGTTGTATACAGATTAGCTTACTGTATCGCCCCCAAAGTTCACTTCCCGCCAATAGCACACTAAGCCTGGTACACTGGGATTTTGACTTAGTTTGATATCGACTTATATATAAATACTACCCCTTACCATCATCACACTGATTGCATGCATGTACTGCTCTTCTGTTATAAAAGTATTCATATTTTTTCTTATCAAATGCTCCACAACTAAGTCTGGCCCAAAGGAACAAGTGCATAATTGCTTCTAACTGAGCTTTTTAAAAGTAAACTTCTCTTGTAAAACACTGTAAAATGGCTATCATGCTGCTTACTAGCTGTCACTTGCAAAATGGGAAATTTTCTAGTTTTTGAAATACTAGTACAAAAGAAAGCTTTCCATGCCACTTTTTTTATTTGGTCATTTGGTGTAGCCTTCCTTGTACTAAATAAGGACATTATACTTGTTGTACAAAATCCAAGGAAAATGCCAAAGTGAAACAATTTACCATTGATTTCCACAAAATAAAGACTGAATTTCCCATTTTGCAAGTGACTGGCATATGTGATTACTTTGTTTACATTGTTTTCCACGAGTTATATTGTATCTATGATCAGAAACACTAAGGACTGAAAAATGAATACTGTAGTTCAGGTAGGGTAGGGTTAAAGCCATCGTACAGATAGGGGAAGAGTGAATGAATGGTAGGGTAGGGTTAAAGCCATCGTACAGATAGGGGAAGAGTGAATGAATGATCTTTATTGCTCGACAGTTGTACATGGTAAAATGTATGGCAACGACCTTAAGCAATGCACTACAATATATTAACGTACGTTCGAAGATTTGAAGTCGGGGCATGGCATAAGTAGATTGAAATGTCTGTGTTTATGTTTGAGATAGGTTTACTACTGCAGATTAACCCTATCTAGACTGGGGGGGGGCTAAAAGTGCCCGCGCCAACTTTGATGCCACATGGCGTCTGAACGGCTAGAGCTAGAACCGCCAAACTTGGTGACTTTTCCTAAAATATTGTTGGCAACAAATCTGTGTCAGTGAAATAAGATTATGATTTTTCTTGTTGCCAGGGCAACGGGTTTCTGACAGGCATTTTTTGCTAAATTTAATAATTTCCGTTTCAACAACAGAATTTTATGGGTTTATGTCAAGTTACACATGGTTTCTATTATTAATAACATCTCATATAATTATATGTAAATTTTATCATTGAAAATGCATAATTTATGCTAATTTGATGACGTCATTGGCCAAAATCTAAGATGGCGGACCATATCATTAGATCAGGTAAATACAGCATATTTTCCTTAAAATTTCATCAATACTCCCATTTCTTTTTACAAAAAAGGTTCATATGAACGTCTTTAGTCTGTTTACAATGTATTTTAGGCTTTATCCCGAAAAAAAACTATTTTTCAAAATTCAAGATTTATGATCCAAGATGGCGGATAGGTAATATATGCATGACGTCATTTTATGACGTCGCCGGTGTTGCTATGGGCAACATAAGACTTAGTACACCCTAATATTCTGTCATAAACACTTTTGGTAAAGTTATGTCGTATACCGTTTAGTTTTCAGGGAATAACATATCTAGACGGTTTTCGCCAATAAAATCACATTAATGACGTCATAATGACGTCATATTACGTCACAACGACTTAAAAATTGTACATATGATAAATTTTTACTAATACACCATCCTCTGAAAATTTGGTGGTCCTACGATATACCGTTCGCGAGTTCTGAGAAGGGGGGGGGGAAT